ACCCCTTCAAATAAAAGTATTTGATGACAGCACGATTTTCCTGCTTTTCCATTTTTACGAAAACCACAGAGGCGTCTTGTTCAGCGTGCTGTCAAACCTACACTAGCAAGGAGATCGGGCTGAAACTATAGCTACAAGCTATCCAAGGATGGTACTATAGAATGTCACCTCAAGGTAGGCCTAGTGGCGTCATCTCTTGGTTAGGCCGGAAACTTATCAATCCACCCTTATAATTGTAAATATTCATGGTTCTTTCTTGTATAATACACCTTTAAAGTTTCAAAGTGTTTTAATTTATTCACATAGGAGAAAAAATTGATGAAAGTGATTATTCGAAAATAATTGACTTCATCCAACAGATATTGTTTTGTAATTTCTTAAATTCCCGACTGGTTTCAGAAAAACAAAAGTGAATGTAGGTTATTGAAATTTATAATTTGTAATTTTCGTTTTCAAAATCATGTAGAACGAGAAACCTTGCCACAAACTCGATGAAAATTTCTCAGTGCTCTGTACATCCATTTGCTGCAGTTTTCGCAAAGGTCGCGGTAGCGGAACATTCACGTCAATGTGGGGGAAACTTAGCTCTTCGCTGCTGGGACTAGCTCAGAGCTGAAATTAATGGTTTTCGATCGCTTTATTTTATATGTTTCCAACAGACTTTTGGAAAAGCGCTCTATAGAGTAGAAATGGGCAGAGCTGTAGTACTCATTGTTTGAAAATGTGCTTGTAGCCCATTCAGTGTGTGCTTTATAAATGGCAATTCAAAGGCCTTCAAGCTTTTTCAAAGTTTTCTACTGAAGCACTTTCGCAGTGCTTAAGGATTTGAATCTAATTTCATAATAGGTAATTCCAAATTCTTGGATTTTAAAATGCAATTGGGGCTTCAAAGACCTAAAAGACTTTAAGTAAGAGCCACGGGCTTAGCGCTTTGTACACTTTTGCTGAGGTCTTTGCCTAGCTCTGCTACTTGATAATTCTTGTTACATAAAATCAGTTTGGCCGATGCTGTGCAAAAATGTGTCTTTTCTTGCAAAAAGTAGCGGTATTTGCGATTGAAATTTGAAGGGTCGGTTTAAGACTACCAATACTGCAGCGGATGCAAATTTCAGCACTGATTATCGTGTGGTATTCCCCACCAATCCTAAAAAGTTTCAAAATAAAAATCGCCCATCGTTTGTTACTAAATGTAATATGTAGGTATACAATGTATAGATTTTCTTAAAATAGAGATCAGGAATCCAAATCCAATGGTGACCTTGGTTATAACTTTGATGGTAATGTTAAGGTCAACTTAAAATTTTTATATGGAAACTATTTTTGGACCGGATTCTCGAAATGTCGAACCCCTGTAATAATTTTTTAAAATATTTTTTGTTTATAAATGGTTTTTCAATTTTCAAAAAACTTGCCACCGTTTTGTGGTGATAATATTCAATAACTATAAAATCTATCCAGCTGGTTTTGCGTCAACAGACAAACACAGGGCGGAAGATTCCTGATAATTTTTAATATAGTTGGTGTAGATTATTCAGTTTGTTTTAAGAAACTATGTGTATCTTATATTACGTAAAGATCACATATCAAAAAAGATACAGCGATTACAAATCCTTGACACCCCAACTGACGTTTCTATAACGTAAAAAAGCGCTCGTTAAATATTAATTGTTTCCTTTTCCTGTTGGGTAGGTCAATAGGAGTGGCAACAGTCATTACATGATGGATTAATAGTGTAAGTGTGGTATACAAAGTTGACGTTTGTGAATTTTGACTTTACATTTATGTATTATATAAAAGATTTGCTTCTTTGTTAGAAAAGGAATATTTTTCATCTTGTAATACAGAAAAAGGTTTCCTTTTAATCAAAGAAGTGTACGAGAGAATCTTTTAAAATTAAGTTCTATTTTAAAAATCTTTATAATTGAATGTAAAAAGATAAGAAAAGGCGTTCTTCTTAATGCTATCGCGTCAGAAGTTGTGATTTTGCTCATTTTCAAGTTTCTATTCTCTTATGTATATAGTTCTTTATATCAACAACTTAGTAGGAGAACAGATGGAAGTCAACAAAAAATAGGCGAGATAGGTTGGTAGGACACCTTCTGAGGCATGAAGGTCTAGTCAGAGACATATTAAAGGAAGAAACAGGAGTTAGGAGGAGTAGAGGTAGACCTAGATTAGATTACTGTTCGCAAAGGATGTGGGATGTTCTAGCTTTAGGGAATTGCTAACATTAGTCCAGGATAGGAATGAGTGGAGACGCGTTTCCGACCAGTGTTAAGACTGACGACCTTATGATGATAATGGGACACTAATATTGCCCAGATGACTTTTCCGCTGTTCTGCTCCAGTTAATACCTCCTTAACCATCTTCGCTTACCAATTATTCCCATGAAAATTTTGCTCTGTTGTGAACGTTGTTGAGGCAACCCTCAGTAGATGGGAACGAAGTACACAGGATGTTTGTAAGTCAGCTTAAATGTGATTGAAAATTGGGANTTTTTGTCTATCAATATGGACATACGCGTGAAGAAATAATTATGTTAGTTAGATCGTAATGACTCCCCTGTGCGGTGCGGGGATTATCACTGCACGATTGACGTATCTTAATTAATATGGAATATTAATATGAAAATTCATTTTTCGAATTTTTTACTTACTATAAATTACCTCCAATTAATGAGGAAAAATTATTGCTGTTTTCACACCCTCGCCGGGAATCGAACCCGGGACCTTTGGATTTACGTACCAATGATCTGACCACTAAGCTACAAGAGGTGACAGTAGCAACAACGACAAACCGTACTTATTAGATCATAGATCTGTCAAACTAATGTAATTATATATATACTATATGCACTATATAGATGAAACACTTTGACATTTTTTTATGAGTTTTCATATTAAAAACTAACCACTATTAAAAAACGTCAAAGTGTTTCGTATCTTAATTACTTTCTTATTTTTTTATATCTTCAAAAATGGGGCGGCTAAGTTAGCGAACACGTTTTAGAGTTCAATGAGGCCTGATCAGGGTAGTAGGTTGGGTTAGTTCTGATTAACCAGATCAGTAATAAATATTTTAAAATCTTGTATTTAGCGTTCATTGTTTGCTTGTGATGCTGATTTTACAAGTTAGTTGTACGAAAAAATTTTTGTTTCAGATCTTATCGTTTGGACCGCTTGGTCCTATCACGGCGTCGTCGGACTCGGTGTCGGCGGCTAACTTTATAAACGCGAACCACGGCGTCTACGTGGTGGGCGTAGGTGGCGGTTGTGGTGGTAGCGGCGGTGGTGATTTGTCGGTGTTGGCACGTCTGTCCGACTACTACGTGTACGCGACGCTAAACGCGAAGAATCAGTTCCGGGCGCCGACGGAGTGGGGTCTCTGCCTGCGGCCGTCCGCAACCGGTGCGGACACGAGGACTGAGGAGGACGAAGTGACGACGCTCGACGTGCTGGACGACAATCGCTACGAAAACGACGCCGAAGTGGAAAACCGTCACGGCGACAATAACGTCGGCGGGGGTGGCGACAGTGACAGCGGCGGTGGAGACAAAAGAATACGCGGTGGCGTCGAAGGAGTGGTTGGTAACGGCGGCGGCGTCGGCGGCGGTGGTGGTGGAGGAGGTAGTGTCTTCGGTGCCGGTAACGGACAACAGCAGCTCCATTGTCTCGCCTGCGACTCGGAACGAGCACGCACGTGCTGGTTGACCGCCATGAGACTCGCCAAGGTATGATTATGATCATGGTCTATTGTCTCGTTATGATTTTAGTCCTTGTTGTCAGGGTTCCGCGCTTAAAAGGAACCCCTATGGCGTATGTCGCTCAGTAAGTACAGTAAAAGCTCTTTATTCGCGGGTTATACGCTCCATAAATACAGAAACTGTGTATATAGAATGGTAATTGGTATGGAATCATAGGGGATACGTTCTAAGGTTCCAAAATAAAATCAATGTATTGATAAATTCGCAATTAAAATTAATCATTATGATCAACTGTAGGCAATAGTTTAAAAAAATTATTGATTTTTTCTTCTTTTGAATTTTGAAATTAGTCCACTCGGTAAGATCTTTTATAAAATTCCCCTCGGCACGAGCTAACAGTACATACTCAAAAGATGTTGATACATTAAGCGGATTCAGTAGTACACGTGCCGTAAAGTAAAAACATGCTTATCGGTTCTAGATATCATGAGTTTAATGTTTGGAACAGAGGTTTGAAATTTTGTAGTAAGATAGATAAAGCTTTGTTGTAAAGCCTGTCGAAGGCCATTTNAGAAGTTTATTTTCCCTAAAATTATTCACCTTTTTGTATAATTTTCGGCAAAAGTAGCGTATTTTTCCGTATATATCTAAGATTTTCGTTTATATAGAAGGGCATTCTAAGTTTTTTGATTGTGTTATTATTATGCCAGAAAGTGAAATTTACAATTTATTGAAAAATTCAATGTTGTAGTTTGCGCTTTGAATGAGTGTTCGAAAAAAATACGATATTTTTGCAGAGAATTGTAAAACAGCAGACATTGACGTTATACACTAATTAAGAGGATACAATAAACAATTTTTATTTATTGATTTCGGGAAGGATAAACGTATCTTTCAACTAAATATATATCTTTTTTGTCATTTGAAAATTTTACTTTTAGACATGTGATGAGGTCAATTTTCTCTAGAATGTGAGGATGCTCCTTTCAATTATCCCCGATTTTGTAGTCAATATTTTTTACTATATATTCTGAATTTTCCAATTCATAACATCTTTTTATTGTACAATTGCCAACGTTTTGTCCTCCGGTTTATTTTTCTTTTCAAGGTAATTGTAAATTTAGCAATTATGGCAACGACAAACAGCCTTTGTTGTAAAATTATCTAGAAAGTACATCCAAAACTGCGACACTTTTATTGTTTGTATTACAATTTTTTTTTAATTTCTTAATTTTACATCCACCCTGTACATTTAAGGAGTAATTTTTAGAAACGCTGATTGTGTTGTGATCAAGCAACTTAATAGGATAGGCTGTCGAGATTTTGTGAAGCTACGTGTATGGAGAGTAGTTCCGTATGTAGAGACGTGTGAATGTGTCCATATAAATACATGTGTGTAGGTACACATTACAAACACTCATACAATAGGGCTTTGACGATGAAAACGTCGCGTCGTCATTGTTTTGTCCCGCATGGCTTCCCCCTTTTTTTCATGTTCTCTTGCTTACACAGCTAAGGACACGTTGCAGTTATTACTGTCTTTCTTTTTGTTCGTTGAACAAGCTGCTACACTCCCTGGCACTCTTCATTTCTGAGGGACTTTGTCAACTGCACCACCCCTTTCGCATATTTTCTAATTAATATGTAAGGAGCCATCTGTGACGCAAAATTCACATATTTTTGATACTCTGCATAACACTTTCATCAACCCCCTAATCAACCATATCTCACGAAACTTGAAAATGATAACCTTTAATTGATATTGGTGTCTGGTATCACAGAACAGTGGTAAGGCGAGATGTCACCAATTCTGGTCCAGTGTTAGGTAACTCGCAACCATGCTGTTAACTTCATATTACAGCATGTTTGCTGTGTACACTTCAGCTTTCGTTTCGTGCTCAACTGTTTACTTCACTTATACCTACAAAGGACAGGAATCCGCTGCAGAACAGTAGATATATGAGGAATATTTTTAACTGAACAGTAAGGTTACATGTGTTTGTCGTTTTGCCGAGGTGCGAAAGCATCAACACGGTTTAATTATTTTTATTAAGAAAAATGTCATCGTTGTTATCGGATTGTTGGTCCTGAGACCTCTATTCCGTCATAACCTGATCTAATCTTCGCATTTCCCTTAGAACATCCCACATCCATAACTATTTGTGAACAGGAACTTAATCTAGGTCTTTCTCTTCTCTTAACTCCCGTTTTTGCTTCTAATATGTCTCTAACCAGCCCTTCATCCCTGAGAAGCCGTCCTACGAACCTATCTTGCCTATTTCTTATTGACTTCCATAGAGTCCTCTGTTCTCCATTCTTTCTGATACCTCTTAATTCCTAACCTTCTCTACCCATATAATTTTCATCATTCTCCCTATAACACCACATTTCGAACGCTTTGAAACTTTTTTCGCCTCGCTCATCGTCCATATTTCGCACCCGTACAGAGCTGTGAGCTCAGACATATCCCTTTAAAAATTGGTTTTGAATTTCTTAATTAATCGTTCGCGGTCATAGAAATGACCTCTTTTTGTTAAAGACAACTCAATTCTACGCTTTTCTTTGTTTTATGTCTACTGGCCCTTCTATCCTGAATTAAATTGACTTTGTAAATACTAAAAATCAATGACTTCTTCTAATTTTTCGTCTGCTATCTTTATATTCACTCTTTTTCTACTTTTTCTTACCGATTTGAGAAAATTTCCTTTCAAATAAACAGATAAATCTATCGCAGAATCATGAAGTGAAGGCTTCACATCAGTGTATGTAACTGGATCCATAGTCCAATCGGTAGAGAATTTTCCCGACATGAATTTGTTATCGGACGGGAGTTGAGTTGTTCCTTGCAGCCGGAGAAAAGTGAAGCATTCCTGTATATTATTAAACTTCGAAAAAGTGTGCGTTAACAAATGGGGGAGGTCCAAAGTTGGTAAAAACCATTTTATTTGGGATTTCTGCAATAACTAATTGACAAAATTATTCGGACCGCGGCTCAAATTAAAGGTTTCTAATTTCTTTACAATTTTTATTTGAAACTTGTCTTTCTAAAAAGCATACCTTCCCTTCTAGATCTACAAACCTGTTTTTTGCCAATTTTGGACCTCCCCATTTGTTAACGCACACTTTTTCGAAGTTTAAAAATATACAGGAATGCTTAACTTTTCCCCGGCTACAACAAGGAACAACTCCCGTCCGGTAACAAATTTAAGTCGGAAAAATTCTCTACCGATTGAACTAATAATTGTAGAGGTATATATGAGATTTTGCTGAATTTTACATCATGAATTATACTCTTGTGTATGTTAAGATCAAAGTCTAGTAATAACCGCGACTAGTTGTGAACTATCAAAAACTGCTATTGCTAACCGTGGTCGTTTCACAATGAACAAAGTCGACCTAGCCTTCCGTCATATTTCAGCATAGCATCAAGAGTTTACAAATGTTGTTTAAATGTTTAAAAACTAGATTTGAAAAATAAATATTTATTTGCCATATAATACTTTATTAAATTCGTAAAATGAATGTCTATTTGCCATACAATACTTAGAATTAGATTTACGATTAGAATACAATTACTATTTACTTTTACAAGGGGAGTTTGCATAAACGAAATGTGTTAGCAGGTACTGTACAATAAGTAAAAAATTATTTTTCAAATTTAAGTAGGTATTGACAAAACAGTACTGTATGAAAATAAATAAAAGTAATACAAAAATACTGGTATGCAAGGGAAGAAAAAATAAGGAAAGAACGAACGTAAAGATAGTAGACGAAAAATTAGAAGAAGTGACCGATTTTAGGTATCTAGGAATTGAGATAAATCAGGACGGAAGGAGTAGTAGAGATATAAAGCAGAGGACAGCGCAGGGTCGAGCCGCCTTCAATAAAAAGAAGTCACTTCTATGATCGCGACCGGTTAATTTAGAAATTCGGAAAAGATTGTTAAAGGTGTATGCACTGTACGGGTGCGAAACATGGACAATGGACTCTGCGAAAAAGACAAGGTTAGAAGCGTTCGAAACGTGGTGTTACAGGCGAATGATTAGGATACCGATAGGTTAGAAATGAAGAAATATTAGAAAGAATAGGAAAACAGAAGTCAATAAGAAATAGACGAGATAGGTTGGTAGGACACCTTTTCAAGCATGAAGGTCTAGTCAGAGACATTAGAAGCAGAAACAGGATTTAAGAGGAGTTCGCAAATAGTAAGGATGTGGGTTGTTCTAGTTTTAAGGAAATGCGAAGATTAGCTCAGGATAGAAAAGAGTGGAGGTGTGTGTCCAGCCTGTCTTAAGACTGACGACCTTATGATGATGATGATATTTAGATTCCTGTTGATAGCTAAGAAATAAATAAAAAATGAAAAAGGAAAAATAAGCTTTTATTATTTATGTATTTTCTTTCAAAAAGAATGCATAGGTTTCCAATTTTTATGGAAACAAACAGAAAAACTGATTTACCTTTATTATGTCTTTATACCAATACGGAATATAACATAAATAAGTAATTGTAGGTTATCGCAGGGTTAGAAAAATTTTTTGGGTTNAACGGTTAATTTAGAAATTCGAAAAAGATTGTTAAAGGTGTATGTTTGGAGTGCGGCACTGTATGGGTGCGAAACATGGACACTGGACGCTGCGAAAAAGACAAGGTTAGAAGCGTTCGAAACGTGGTGTTATAGGCGAATGATGAGGATGCCTTGGATAGGTTAGAAATGAAGAAATATTAGAAAGAATAGGAGAACAGAAGTCAATAAGAAATAGGCGAGATAGGTTGGTAGGACACCTTCTCAAGCATGAAGGTCTAGTCAGAGACACATTACAGGCAGAAACAGGATTTAAGAGGAGTATAGGTAGACCTAGATTAGATTACTGTTCGCAAATAGTTAAGGATGTGGGTTGTTCTAGTTTCAGGAAAATGCGAATATTAGCTTAGTATAGGAAAAAGTGGAGGTGCGTGTCCAACCAGTCTTAGGACTGACGACCTTATGATGATGATATTTAGGTTCCTGTTGATAGCTAAGAAATAAGTAAAAAATGAAAAAAGAAAAATAAGCTTTTATTATTTATGTATTTTTTTTCAAAAAGAATGCATAGGTTTCCAATTTTTATGGAAACAAACAGAAAAACTGATTTTCCTTTATGTCTTTATACCAATAAGGAATATAACATAAATAAGTAATTGTAGGTTATCGCAGGGTTAGAAAAATTTTTTGGGTTGAGTAAAAAAAAGGGGAACACACAACATTTATAGCACTTACTAAAATTTAAATTGGTTGTCGAAAAGCGTTAGTTATATATTGTGATACATGTTTTGTTCGTTCCAGTCCTGGTGTATAACTAAATTGTATGTTGTGTCCTGTGCAATTTTGAAACGAAAAATAATAGCAAGCTGTCCATTATTTTTTTATTTATTTCGTGTTTTGGCTTTGTCAGTAACAAGTCTTGGATATGTGTCGCAAACGTTCGTTCTTTTCAAGAGCTCTGTAATTATTTCTCCCATTGTCTGTGCCACGTAATCCTTGAAGTTGCTCACGTTTTGTATAAGATAATCTCATGCATCTGTCGAAATAATATAATAATAAGTACGTATTCGATACCCAATGATGATTTCAGAAACCTCATTATTCGATCAATAAGAAAACAATTAAAAAAAAAAGGAAATTTTTACTCATTCTTGCTCATTCTAATAACATGCTATGTTGTAACCATTAAATTTTTGTTTGATGTATATAATGGATATAGATACACATACATATATACAGTAAAGATAGAATTTTTGTAATTAATATCGAATACTCAGGTCTGCGATCCCTTGGAACTGTGAAAAATTAAACTTTCAAGTCAATGCAATCAAAAGATACTATCGTTTATGCCGCATATTTTGACACTAGCAAATAAATAAAGGTCTAGTCAGAGACATATTAGTGGCAGAGACGGAAGTTAGAAGGGGTAGAGGTAGACCTAGATTAGATTACTGTTCGCAGATAGTAGATATAGGTTCTAGTTTTAGGGAAATGCGAAGATTAGCTCAGGATAGGAAAGAGTGGAGGTGCGTGTCCAACCAGTCTTAGGACTGACGTCCTTATGATGATGAAATAAATCAAAACGTATAGCGTACTTCCCCTTAATCTAGAATCATGAAATTTGTCAAGAAGCCATGTTTTATAGCACAAGTGACAAACCCAAAACTGCAAATGTGCAGCTGTATTGCAAAAACAATATTTGTTAATTGTAATATCTATTATAATTATACGTTTCGGGGACTAATTTTTAGGAGAAACTTAAAATATACTCGGAAAAAGCCGGAAAAATCTTCGAAACTCAAATCTTACTCACAATTCGCCGGTTTTTTGTATTAGTGACCCAAAAACTGCTTTTATCGTTCTGTTTCCTTTCGGAAAAGTAGTTTAATTTTTTTTTTTTTTATTGCTTTTAAGCCTGTTTCTAAACCACTCCTTACAATTTTACAATTCTTTGATGTCACTTATTAGAGATTGACGCTTAAACGTTCCCTTCGTTCGAATTCAACGAATTATAACTCTGTCAAATCATTTTTGAAAAACGAACATCAGTTTCGCTCACTTCAATTGTGGGTATTATTAGTGCGGACAGTCGTAGTCATGGCAGAATCCAAGGATCATTACGATCTAGTTATGGACTTCCATACCTCAGAATTCATAATTAGTCATTCGAATATGCCGATACACATAGCATGAAACAATCTCATAAGCCTATAATCTAGAATTAATTTTAATTTGATCGACAGACGAGGTCGTAATAATTCTATAGATTCCAGAATTTATTTTAAACAATAAGAAACCGGCGAGTGTTTAGATAATTTACTCAAAAAGCTTCTTCTGAACTATCAGTCAAATTTATCAAAGGAGAGAGATCATTGTCAAAATTTAGATCACTAAAAAAATGTATTTTATTGAAAAAAGGATGCGTGTATGTGAGCCTGCCGACTATGAAAACTTTTCGACACATGTTTGAGAGTTTAGCCATACACTGCACTGGGTTTTGGGTTATGGAAGTGAGTAAAATATAGACGAGATATGCTGGTAGGGGATCGTTGCGGACATGAAGGTTCAGTAGTCTAGACGTATTAGATGCAGAAGTAGAAGTTATGAGGGGTAGATTTAGATCGGATTACTATTCGCAAATAGATGTAAGTTGCTCGAATTGGTTCAAGATAAGAAGTAGTGAAGTACAGGTAATTATCCAATTAGTTTTCGAGCTAAAAACCTTATGATGATGATGATCGCCAATGATCTTATTACGTTTGATGTTAAAAATAATAAGTACTTTTGATATTTAATTTGAATTAAAATTGAAATCAAATCAAAGATCCATAAGTAGGAGACCATATTGTAAAGTACCAGAGAGGGGTTTCGAATACTAATAAAATGTTTCCGGATATCAGATGTATACACTAGCAATAGCTCCTGGATGCTGGATGTAAGATACGAATGTTTTATTTTCAAAATGTATCCTAAATACCTATATCCGGATACTTTCCCAGGATAATGGATACGGATACTTTCTACTTCACAATAATCGATTGTTTAATTTATAGTTTGAATCAAGTGCTTTTCAATATTTAAGATAGTAAAGCAACATGTAGATTTAGAAGTTACGGTCCTGTCTTCGCAAACAGGTGAGATTTAGTGGATGTAATATATTTTTGCAATTATAATTTGGACTTCACACAAGATATCACACCAATGTCGCCATTTACTTAAACTCGCTCAAGATTTTTATTCGTTTTTGTGTAAATCAAACACTGATGATGCTGCAAGTTTCAATATAGATTTAGTGCGGGAATAATGAATTGAAACTGTGGAAAGAGGAAAAATATTCGAATACGAATCCTTTAGGAATTACCTGGCGGATACGGGTAACTGATATATTTTCCCAATGGATTCAGATGCAGCCTTTGGGTACATAAATAGTATCGGAATTTCCAAATATTGTAACCCGATACCGAGTGTACGGATAATACCCAGCTGTATTAAAAACTTCGGGATATGAAACCCTCCACTTCAAATTCTTATCCTTTCACTACCATTGCTTGTATTTTGCTGTCGAAAAGTTTGAAATGCATTACATATAATGTTATAATTCCATAAAAGGTTAATAGAAAATCTAAAATTTACGAACGAGGGATAAAAATACGTACATATAAAGTAAAAACAAATTAAGAGGATGGATATACAATAGTAATTTGTTTGTCAGATAATAATTATTTATTTACGTGTTTTTTCTTGTTGTTTCAGTATGGGAAGCAACTGCGTGAAAACTACAGGGCGTTTAAGAACAAGCAGACTGAAAATATTAATCCAAAGGAATACAACAGCTATACCGTACCAAATGTAAGTGTTTACCATGATTATTATTATTATTTAAAAGTTTGCTTGAAAATTGAGGAAAATGATTTTCGTCAAAATTAAGAGTGAAATGATGTAGACAAAATAAACAGCGGAATTTGGTTATAATATAATAACATCGGTTATAACGACAACTCTAATGTAATGTCAGGTTTTAATAGTCTCGCAAAGCCATTCAAAACAAACAAAAAAACCCCATAATGTTCATCAAATAATATTTATATAGACTACATATTCATTGCTATCGCCACAAATGATTATTATGCACAACACAGGCTTGACATGATTTAAATTAGTTGATTAAAATTTGTTGCTTTTTTTGAAATAGAATCATGATTAATTTTAGTAAGTGAAGTTATTTGGACACAATGTGTGTTTATTCATTAAAGAAGTAAAACCTAGAAAATTTTTTATGTTAGTATTTATTGTTTGTTATAATAATTAAAATGGACTTTAGCTGCTTCTTACAAAAAGAAAACTTTTAAAATTTTTTTAATACAAGAAAGTGTAAGAAAAATGAAACTTTTATATTACCCAAGTTTGTTTCTTATATCAGCATGTAATTACGAGTCTGTACACTATAAATAGTTAGAATTGTTGGAACAGGAAATATCAGTAAAAACTAGCAAAATCTAGATTTACAAAAAAAATTAAACAAACGTGATTTTTTGAAAAAATCATTAATTTTTGATTTTAAAAAATGACAAGTTTTATCAACGTTGTGCTTACTTGTATGTGTGTACCAGGTAAATATATAGCTATGTATGCAAATCGAAGTACTAATTGTTTTAGTTAGTGCAGAATTGAATGTTTGAAAATTATTTAGTCTGGTTTTTATTTCTAATGAATAGTTTATTACCTTAAGACTTTGAAACTTTAAGGTATAAATGGGCTCTTCGTTTAACTCGTTAAATTTAATTGATTTCCTGAAAATTTTATTATTCTGAAGCTCGGAGTGCAAAAGAAATCTCCATAATAATGAGGAAATGATTAAAAATACCGTTTACGTGTCGACTATCAATTTTGAGATTATTAAGATAGTAGAAAGTTTTTAAAATTTTGGCAAGTGGGTAAAACGTAGAAGCCTCTATTATCGTGGAGTGTGGTTTCTTTTTATTTTTTTCGCGACGTAATCATTAAATTCTGTCCATTTCCCTTAAGTATTTCTCGTCGTTCGTTTCGTGGGTCGTCTTCATTTTTATTTATGGCCTCTTTGAATGCAGCAACTCATAAATCACAGACAGACTTTCGTACTGGAAAAACGATTAAAGTTTTAGCGCCGTTTCGGAGTTTCGAAAGCCGATATAATAAAAGTAGCGGTTTTCCTGCTGATTTCCCCTGGTAGTTTTGTCCACTGAAATTGCCAAGTTAAACTTGTCAAAAACTACTGAGAAAATTGCAATGAGTTTTTCTTAAATTATACTCGTAAATGGTCACTTTCTTTTAGTTTCTTATTCACATTTTCCATTCCTGTGTAAATCCTAATTTCTTTTTCCATCATAAGGCTTTACAATCGAAGAAGTGGAGATTTTCCTTATTTTTTTTCAAACCTCAAATCTCCTGATTCGGATATAAAAGCCGTTGTCGTTTGGAGTTGCTTCCTAACGTTTCGCTAGCATGACTGACGAGCTTCTTCAAAGGTCCTACCATCTCCGATGCTGGATGTGGACTGTCCACATTCAACATCATAGCACAGCATTAGTTTTTCCATTTATTGTTCTTCAGTTTTTCTCCTATTCGGAATACAATTTTCTATGTTTTAATAGTGCACACAGGTTTAATCCAATTTATGTATAGATATTGAACACTACTAGAGAGATTAACTATAATTTCAAATGCAGCATTCCTTATACAAAAATATCAATAATAAATAATTGAAAAACCACCTGTGTTCTTTTTTAAATACATTGGTTATAGATGTGGAAACTAAAACAAGAGGTAAGTTTCATTTTAACGTACTCTGCTGAATTGATTCCTAATCTGGCTTAAAAAACAGTACTAAGAACTGAATCTTAATTTTGTAATATTCTAATGCCAAATTCAAAATAAATAAATTCATGGCTTTTTGTGAGCTTTACTAATTGTTGAAAAAAAGAATGAATAAGAGAGTAGTTATCTTGGACTTATCTTCTTTGGCTTAAATTGAATATCGCATTATAATTTTCGCAGTACATTAATATCATCTTCATAATGTCGTCAGTCCTAAGACTGGTTGGGCACGCACCTCCACTCTTTCCTATCCTGAGCTAATCTTTATATTTCTCTAAAACTAGAACATCCGATATCATGACCATTTGTAAACTGGCTGTAACTTTACTCCTTTTAACTCCTGTTTCTGTTTCTAATATGTTTGAGAAGGTATCCTACCAACCTAATATAATTTCATAATGTAGGTATAAATCGTAGGGAATTGGACCAAAACAGTAACCGAAGGTAACAACCGAAATTTCATTCGCCTATTTCTCATTGACTTTCATAGCGCTGTCTGTTCTATTCTAAAAAAATTGTTCTCAAAATTCTGCTTACGTAATACTTAACCGCATCTTATTGCATTTATTTTGATTGATGATAGCCCTTTCACTATCCGGATTTTCTGCTCCAGTTTCCAGAATTATAAACGGATGATTCACTGTCAGTACTTTTATTACATCATCTGTTCCGCTAACCACTATAATATTAACACATCACGTTATAGACACGTTCAATAATACATATTGTTCTAAATTTCACGGTTACTAACTGACAAGTTGAATTATTCATGTTAATAGAAAATAAAAGTTAAAATTTTAATCCTGTGGTTTGGTTTTTGTTTTCCCATACATACACACACACACACACATATGCAGAATGTATAGACAAGTTTTTAAAAAAAGGTTTTCAGTAGCGTGTTGACAATTGTCGTTATCTATTCAATCACATTGTAAGTTTCTGTTTATGGCTATGGTGGACAGTTTTATTTATTTGATTAACACGTAGCATTCATTATAAAACCAACGAAGTTACTAAGTGGTTTTTTTATTGCGTAGTTTTAGTAAACTGTTTAAAACACGAAAGTAATAGCACAACTTTATTTTTCCCGATAATCTTAAAAGATAGGGATATTTGTTTATGTTCCCTATAATGTTGTAAGCCTTAATAAGAACAGATGAAGTTCTTGATCAATAACTTCTCGAAACTGGATGGCGTTTTTTATCTTATTTAATCTCATCAGCACGCCACAGGCGAGTTACGACAGCATATCGTCATCTACTGATATTTGCTGTCGTCAACTGAATTATTTTTCAAATATTAGACAAGGCCTTACTCCTTGGGATCTACAATTTCACATCAGAGATTACTTCTCTCGAGTTGATGATCATTAAATTTAAATTCTTTATTTTCTTATGTTAAGTGGGACAAGATGTTAAATATACTTAAAAATGTAGGGATGAGTTACAGAGATAGAAGAGTGATACTTAGTTTGTTTAAACAGCAACAGGCAGTTATAGGGATGGGAGTGCAACGTAGAGAAGTAAATATTAGGAAGGGAGTCAGACAGGGTTGCACACTGTTACTTCTACTTTTTAATCTATACATAGAAGAACGCGATTAACATCATTAAAGACAGTACAAGTGTAGGGATAGCTATACAGGGGCAAAAAATTAGTGTGCTTAGATTTGCAGATGATATAGCAGTATTAACATATATCACACAACAAATACTGCTCAGCAAGGGAAGATCAAGTAGGGAAAGAGCGAATATAATGATAAGTAACGAAATATTAGAAGTGATCGATTGTAGATATCTAGGAAGTCAGATAAGTCAGGACGGAAGGAGTAGATACTTGACTATTTATATTTATGAAAAGATAACTGAAAGTATATTTACGAATTTCCCGGTATCTTCTCGCATTTTTCAAAAGATGATGCCTGCGTTTGATAATTTGATGTAAGAGAATATCTCTATGTTCGATTCTCAAAACTCGCCACTAGTGTATGTACGCCTGCATCATAATTTTCGAAATCAATTTGGCTTGTTACGTATATTTTAGGAACTTTTACAACACTAATCAAATAGTATGGAGTTAATAAAAGTTTTATAGATCGTTTACGTCCAAACTATTGTCAGTCAGTCGAGTTTAACTAGTTTTTGACTACTGCGCAGAATATTGAAAAATTCCGACACTTTTGAACTATTTTGGGGGGCTATAAAAATGTGCAAAAGGTTTTTTTACTAAATTACTCGTCGAAATACGTACTTAATTTATATAAAAGCAAACAAATATTGCCATCCAAGAATAGCAGAATCAACAGCTTACTTAAAAATTGGAAACGAAAAACTAGAAAAGTCGCTGAGTTTTGATATTTACGAAATCAGACCTGTAATCAAGATGGAAAATGCGAATAAAACAGAAAGCAGCGCAGGGTTGAGTCGTTTTTAGAAATTCGAAAAAGGTTGGTACAAGTATAGGTTTGGAGTATATCTCTGTACGGGTGCGAAGTGTAGGAGATAGACTAGGCGGAAAAAAAACAGTAGAACAAAGAACGCTGTGGAAGTCATAGGGTGGTAAGCCACTTATTGACACACAAAGGATTAGTTGCTGACATACTTAAAGTAAAAACAAGTAATTAGTTGCAGAGGATAACCGAGACTGAATTATTGTCAGTAAAAAGTTACAGATGTGGCATTTTGCAATTTTCGGAAAAACTTTCAACGGTGATTTCTTTTTTTGCCAGCTCCTGTTTCACCAACTTTCAAATTTCTGCTTATTTTAGTGTCTTTTTTTTTATTACGACCTTTTAGACTTGATTCCCACTATAGATCCGCTCTGGATACGTTCTCGATCCAGTAAAATATTGCTACAGGAAAAATGTGGATGCACCCATATCCTTCTTTTCCTTTTTCTTCGTTTTAGAATTGTTTCATAATCTTTGTCCAAAATCACAGCTAATTCTTCTGCACACCTCAACCGGTGAAAAGTGAATGATGCGCTATCGAAACCTGA